GTATTACTATTAAATTATTTTCCCCCTTTGTCAGATTGGGCTGTTTATACTTGACACCATTATCTTGGACTCAAGATAAGCAGATCATTGCTTGGAGAAACTTGATGTGTCTCCTTGTTCTGGTTTTTAGTGTCGCTCAGTCATTAGCTTCCCTCCTCCCTCCCCTCAAGCACTCCAGCTGCGGCCAGATGAGGCTGCAGCTGCCTTTTGGATTTTGCTTGTCTTGGCACGTGGTTTGAAAAGCTCTCCCTCCACTCCATTTATCTGGTGCAAGGGGACAAGGGAACAACTCCCTATTGTGAAATCAGGCAATAGGAACAGGGGCATGTATAATTAATGCTTAAAACAAACACATAGCAGTTAAACATTAAAATTACCACATTTTGGATCAACATGAAGTTGAACCCTGCAGTTGGTATAAACTTTGCATATTTATGTATGCTTGTATTAATTTGTATAAGACATCCTGCTTCTGCTAGTGATGGCGAAGAGCCAAAATCTAAGCAGGATGCTGAAAGCCTGTCCCTCGGAAATCCTATTTACTCACCCAGCTTTATTTCTAGTGTTTCACTTAGGGCCTTTACAGACTGCCAGAAATAATGCAGCTTGAGTCCACTTTAACTATCCTGACTCAGTGCTAGGGAATCATGGGAACTGTAGTTTATTGTGGCACCAGAGCTCTCTGACAGAGAAGGCTCAATGTCTCAGAAAAAAATACAATTCCCATGATTTCCTAGCACTGAGCCAGGGCAGTGCCTCAATTTAATGTGCACTATTTCTGGCAGAGATGGGGCTGGGAATCACTTTCAGGTCTGTATTTTCAGAACCTTGAGCTCTAGAAACTTGGTTTTGGAGGGGTGTTCAAAAGTGAAAGGTTTGAGGATGCTGAGTTTTGCAGCAAGTAGTCTGAACCTATTCGGTATAATTGTCTAATACATGCAATCTAATTATGGGAGCACAGCCATTTTCTCTGTGTATTGGAAAGGCACTTGAAAAGGAAGGACTGGAACTTTGAAAGAGAAAGCCCACACAAAGCTGCTTGTTCATCAGTAGCCCCAACCAGGTGATCACTGAGCAAGAGCAGGTTAGGAAAGCACTACTTTCTCTATGCCCAGTCTCTGCTGGTTGATACGCGGTGATAAGAGGACATGTAGGCATCATCCCAGTCAAAGCTTGGGAAAGCTACTACAGTAATTGCATTACAGCTTCCTAAATCCCACAGCCAGCATGGCCATATCCTTATACAGTTGCTGACATATCCCAAGAGCGGTAGTCCAAAACAGAAATTTTTCCAATCTCTGATCCTGATCTCCCACATGTTCAGTACTCATCTGATAGCAACAGTCAAGTGGTAGCTTCAGGTGTCGGGGGGAACCTGTAGTTGACTATACACACACAACTTTTTTTAAATCGCCAAGGCTCACCTTAAAAACAAAGTACAGTTTTCCCTCCACATTTGCAGATTTGACTTTTGCGGATTTGATTATTCATGGATTGTATTAGTATGTTCTCTCTAGGAATATCTAGGTCCTTCAGTGCAACTCTGTGGTCAACTTTAACCAAAAGTTGCACTGAAGGACCTAGAGATTTGTAGGGAGAACACTCCACTAGGCATTTGTAGCTCCTCAAGCACAATTGTATGGTCAGTGCCTGGAAGATGTTGACCGCAGAGCTGTACTGGAGGGGTGTTTTCTCAGCTTAAAACATAGTGTTTTTGCTATTTGTGTTTTTCCCCACTTACACAGGGATCTTGTGCCCCTAACCCTAGCGAATATGGAGAGACCACTGTATCTCAATAAAGAATTTATCAGAGATTCAAAAGAGGATTGATTGCCAGCAAGATGGAATATTATAGGACTAGTATGTACACGGCTCTTGGCCTATGGTTTTTCAAAGCAGAATTGGGAACACTGCAGATTGCAGAGATGGGGCTGGGAATCTAGCACCTCACTTTTATTTGTATTTTTTAAATTTCTAGCTGTTGTGACTATAAAGGCAAGTTTCAAGTTTTTAGGGCAATGTCAGCTATAAGGAGACTGACCATGATTTCTAGTAATGGGGCTTCAGTGTTCCCTTTGCTAATTGAAGCAGAATAAAAATTTAAGTCTTGCATCTATGCAGATCTGCCTGCTTTCCAGAATTTAATAGGATGTAGAATTAAGCCACAGTCTGGATCCAAGCTGGATTTCCTTTGCTGTCCATATCTTTTTACCTCCCTCCTGCCATTCATTTCTGAGATGAAACAGACTCTGAAGTGGACTGTACCTTAGTCCTACATCTCCTGGGTCAACTTCTGGTGTTTTTGTAATCTAATATCCTTTTGAACAAATTATTAATATTATACAATCAGCCCACCTCTCCCTTTGATTGTTCCATTCTTTGTCAGTGCAGTGAGCAAATGTTTTGCTCTGCAATGTTTTAAAGCCAAAGTCATGCAGTCCTTAACACCTAGAAAAAAAGATGCCCTGGTGTAGAGCAGTGTCACTTAAAATGGAAGCCTTGGGGCTTGTGCTGATCCGTGAGCTGTTGGTTGATAGTCTACAGCAAATTCCTAGATAAGAAAGAAACTGTTTTAGTTAATGAAGAAAAAATCCTGTCCATCCCTCACATCAGATAAAGAAGCACTGACTAGAGGAAAACCAGTGCCCTCTGAGCTGAAAATGCTTCCTACCTTTGCCCTTCTGCTCCTTCCCTCACAAGTGTGAAGGTTTTGGATACATTTACACTACTACAAAACCAATGTCTGTCTGACTGCCATTGGCTTCTTAGGTAGTATCTATGCATTCTAGGTTGCTGGGGGTGCTGTGAGAATTCTGGGGTCTTCTCACACTACACAGTTATAGCACTGTGTTGTTGTGTGCCTTCAAGTTGTTTCCAACTTATGGCAGTCCTATCACAGGGTTTTCTGGGGCTGAGTATGTGTGAGACTCCCAGTGGGTTTCCATAGCCGAGCAGGAATCGAACCCAGATCTCCAGAGTCACAGTCCAGTGCTGAAACCACTATACCACTCTGGCTCTCCTTTAATTACCATGGCTGCAGCCTATGGAATCTGGGATTTACAGTTCATAGAGTAATGTTTAGAATTCTCTGCCAGAGAGCTCTAGTGCTTCCCCAGACTGCAAACTCCAGGATTTCATTGGATGTTATCATAGTAGTTAAAGTGGAATCATAGTGCTATAATTGTGTAATGTGAAGAGGTCCCTGATAGGTATACTTTGCACCCAGTTGCTTTCTTCTCTGACACCCCCCCCCCCATTACAGAACAACATTTCTGTAAAAAGAGAGAATGACTATGAATCCAATCTAAATCTACACTGAGGGTGATATCATTTAGCCTTCAAGTGGTCCCTGACTTATGGCAACTCAATCATGGAGTTTTCTTGGCAAGATTTGTTCAGAGGAAGTTTGCTATTGTCTTCCCCTGAGGTTGAGAGAGAGTGATTGCCCAAGGTAACTCAGTGGGTTTCATGGCTGAACTGGGAATTGAACCCTGGTCTCTAGAGTCGTAGTCCAACACCTAAACCACAGTGCCACACTGGCTCATCTGTACATAATACTACCTATGTTTAAGAACAATAACATCAAAAATCCACAAAATAGCGATACCTGTATTCGCCAGCCAAAATGCACAAAATACATGACGCAGGTTTTCGAAGTGCAGCTGGCAAAGATGTTAACAATCAAACAGGAGAAAGAAAGAAAGAAAAATGATTATGTTGGAGGCACACACCTACATTGTATCAAGATGCTGTTATAGTTCTCAGTTAAGATGGTACGGATGGATATCCATCTAGGCAGAGGCCATTCTTCTTCCTTGGCCATGTGGGCTCTGGGAGACAAAGAATAAACTCCAGGAAGTAATATTTAAAGTCCATTCCCAACACCAAGATACCTCCTTTGAGATCCATAATGTTTTTCTCCTGTTTGTGGCTACCAGCCCCCTCCTTTGATATACCACCTATGGTCTTACTGCTACTGTATATGGAGCCCCTCAACTAAGACTCAACTTAGACTAAGCCCTGTACTGTATATAAGTGAGAAGAACGTACAGGCTTAAGGAAGACAAGAGAAGACCATAATGAAGGGAGAAGGAAGAAAAAAGGAGAAGAAATGAGAGGTCAGAGGCTCAAGAGAAGAGTTATATTTTCAAATTCTGTTTTAACAGTTGAAAGAAGGAGGAAGTCCCATTGCCAGAAGGCAAAATGTAGTTTACATAAGAAAGCCAAAGGCTTTGAAGGAACTCTAATGTAGGATTAAAATGGTGAAAATGGGGTAAAGGAGTGAGAGAAGTACACTCTGCACTTGCTCAGGGATTTATTTAATCTGCTCTTGTTTTCAAGTGTGGCACAAGGAGGGGGGAAATCCTTGTTATAGGCAGGGAAGAAAGTCAAACAAATGGCAGAGCTGCTTCTTGTCTTCTGAGGAAATATGCTCAGAACAAGATAGAATTAAACCCAGAATGAAACTCTCTGAGTATTTGAAACACTGAGATTTACTAGACCTTATGTTTGTAAATGGATGGTGGAGAGAGAATTGCCAATACTCGTTTTCCCTTGTATGGTCTTAAGTTCCACCAGCTCCAGATATATTCTCGTAAGATCCTTTGAAAGAGACATCCTAAACTCTTTAAAGGGATCTTTTAAAGGAGATTCTTTATGCCTTAATGCAGGGGTAGGCAACCTTTCCCCTTTAAGGGCTGAGGGACTTCAGCTCCCAGAAGCCTCAGCCATGTTGGCCAATAGTCCCAAGTTGGCCAATAGCTCCTGGGATTCTGGGAGCTGAAGTCCCTCGGCCCTTAAAGGAGAAAGGTTGCCTACTCCTGCCTTAATGTATAAGAGAATTCAGAATAGGTTGCTAGTAGGTTCCTAAACAGTTTCCAGGTACAATATAAAGCTTTGACCTTTAAGTCCAATGTGACGTAGATTTTGATAACCTGATGCCTGAAAGTTTACCTCCTCCAATGTGAATCTGAGGAGAGGAAGCTGACACATGCGGTGGAGAGGATAAGCTTGGTGGTTAGGAAAAGTCTCACCTCATTGTATCCTTTGGTGTCGTTTTAGTGCCAAGTAACAACACTTTTATTCTCCTGGATATTTTCATCTTATATTCATACTGGGCATATTTGCATGTGTCAATTAGCCATGCTTTGAGTTAAACCATGAATTATAAAACACTTTCCTCATGAATTGCATAGCATCTTTTACAATTTTTAATTTATTTCTCTATCATATCTTTTGTCAGCTCCTTTTTCATGGTGGGCAACTGATGAGACAAGCCAGGGACAAACCATCATTCTGGGGTTCAGGTGTCACAATAAGCTGACATTAAACTATAGGTTATTAATAAACCATGGGTTGCCCAGTATCTAGTTGACAAACCATGGGTTGCTAGCAAGAATGGTGTTGCACATTAAAACCTAACAGATTTCAGCAAACCACACTATGGCTTGTCATGAGATTTGAATGTGTTTGTCACAACATTGTGTTTAGTTGCTAATTTATTATTTTAGATTTTATTGGATTTTTATTTCCAAGGCACCCTCAAAAAATTTATATTGAAAGAGAGCATACACATTTAAAAAAACAAAACAACCTTCCCACAGTTCCTAATGAGGAATTCAGTATAACTCAAAAAGGCAAGCTTATGCCTTGAACAACAAAAATAGGTAAAAGAAAAAAAGATCTCTATTTGCAACTTATAGACATTTCTGGGTTGCAAGCATTTGCAGTCATCATCCAAAGAATTAACTTTTTTCATGTTATGTTCAAAAAAACAGGAAGAAATATTACTTACACTGAATACTTGTAGTATTAATTTCTCTCCAGTTAATTAATTGATTCTGTTATGGCAAACCAATTCATTGATTAAGCCTTTAATCACTCAGCAACTGAAATGCCCATCCCTTGATGTATGCCTCTCATAATAATGGTGTGCTGCTTCATATGTTACAACATTAGGAGTTAGTACAAAACAATTGTGCTAACTCATTACAACATTACAACAAAAAATCTTGTATGCAAGACATTTTGGTGCATGTACATACACCTTGACACCCCAGTTGTTTGTGATTGTTCTGCATTGTATAGATATAGTTGCAATGGAAAATCCCAAGTGTCAAGTTGACCTCTGAGGGCATAACTGCAATGCAAACTTAAACTGGTTTAACTGTCATTTTTATCTCCTCAGGGAAACCTGGAAATTTATGTACGAGAATGAGGTCAGAGTCTCATGTGAGGAAGCAAACTGATGTTTATTAGATCTTAAGACTTCAAATGTTATTTAAAAAAGAAAAAAAAAAGAAATCTCAAGTCTCATCCTGGGATTATTTGGAGGAGGTCATGGTATTTAAACTTGTTAAACTAAAACAGAGATTTGGAGACTACCTTATTTTCCTGCGTATAAGACTACTTTTTAACCTGCAAAATCTGTGGTTAAAGGTCATCTTATACACCGGGTATAAGGATAAGGAGGATAGAGGTGCTAAAACTCTATATTTTGACTGGAAAAATGGGGGGTCGTCTTATACGCCGGGTCGTCTTATACGCCGGAAAATACGGTACATATGTGTCGAGCTGGGGTGGGCATGCTCTGGAGCATTTTGAAAAAGCTCTAGTTTTTCATTGCTTGACCAGAACTCTCAAAAATAGAAACAGGTTTACTCAAACTCTTTAACTGCAATCTCAGCTGCTTATCTTAGTATTTAAACCTAGCTCATTGCAAAGCATCTGGAGTACATGCTCAGTTAGTGCAAAGCACTGTCCCAGATCTCTTGCGCTCTACACTTCCATCCCAAACCAAGGAGTGATTATTCTTTTAGCATAATATTGTGGAGGAAGGTCTGCAATCTGTCTCTCAAAAAATGCTTGCTGACCCTTCATCATCTTCTTATTGAAGGATTCTCTGGGTTTCATAGAACTTGGTTTTCAAACCATGGTTTGCATCTTTGCCTTTGTATTTCTGAGAGTAAAGGGAATAACTTTATTGGCTTTGTTGCTGTTTATTTAGTGAAAGATGAAAGTTCAGCACAGGTTTCAAGAGTCCATTTAGTGAGACTGGGTCCCAGTAGATATGCTTCTTTGGTTTCCCAAATGACCCATGACAGCGCAAAGTGTTTCTGGTACAATTACAGGTATTTTTGTTTTAGTGAAAACCAGCAAAATTTAAGAGCCTTGGATTGTGCCTTTCAGGCATGCTGGTGAATAGTATATTTGTTGTTGTTGTGTGCCTTCAAGGGGTTCCCGAGTTATGGTGGCCCTAAGGAGATAGATTTGCATTAGGGGTGCCATAGGTTGGAAAGAACTTGAAGGAACCCAGCAACAACAAAGGAGGAATCTGTCATCAGGTTTTCTTCAGAGGGAGCTTGCCTTTGCCTCCCTCTGAGGCTGAAAAGGTGTGATTTGCCCAAGGTCACCCATGGCTGAGCTCAGATTCAAACCCTGGTCTCCAGAGTCATCATCCAACACTTAAACAATTACACCATGTTGTCTTAAAATCAATATTCTGTGCTGTGGAGGCAGAAAACACTGGCCAAATAAAGCTGTATTTTGCTTTGTATATAGATCATGGAAATTAAGCAATGCACACACATAGTTAGATGAGAGCCAATGTGGGGTTTGAGTATTGGACTACAATTCTGGATACCACAGTTCAATTCTCCACTCCAGGGGTAGGCACCCTTTTTTCGCCAGGGGCTGGGTTGCTGTCCCTCAGACAATTGGGGGCCCGAAGCATCATAAATAAATAAATAAATAAATAAATAAATATTTAATAAAATAAAATAAAATAAAAATGCATGCACACTCTCTCAGCCCCAGAAAAGCCATGGCAAAACCCCTGTGGAGATTTTGCCAAGAAAACCCCAAGAACAAGTAATAACAACAATAATCAATATCATCATGGCAGGCGGCGGGGGCAGCGGCGGCAGAACCAGCCTGGGGCTGGTCCAAAGGCCTCGGGGGGCCACATCCGGCCCCCGGGCCTTAGGTTGCCTACCCCTGCTCCACTCAGTCATGAAATCCATTGGGAAGCCTCAGGGGAAGGCAAAGGCAAACTTCCTCTGAACAAATCTGATCAAGAAAACCCCATGATAGGGTTGCCATAAGTTGGAAACTACTTGAAGGCACACAACAACAAAATACAGGTATAATTAGAGGGTTTTCATTTTTAAATTTGCTTTTGATAATAATGGCACTGATGTCTTGACCACCCATATTCCATTCGTTTCCTAAATTTCTGAGATTTCACCTGCTGCTAATGGAAACACCTCCAAGTTTTTTTCAGGGTCCCTTCCCCTCCCACTTAAGGAGCAGAAATCTGCTGGGTTTTTTCCCCAGGTTATTTTCTCAAGATTTTGAATTCTATGTGCAATCCATTCCCAGTGTGTAATTGTGAAACGCCCACAACTCCACAACGTGTTCTTTTTCTTTTGCACTATTCATTTGCTTTTAAAACAACTATACTGCTATGCCATGCCATTCTGTACCAAGAAAGTCAAAATATCCATCCATCACTTTATTTATATCCCACCTTTCTCTCTGGCT